AATTAGGATAAGATTCTATGAAAATGAGAAGACATCACAAACATACCCACGCCACTTCTTCTCTTCACTATCTTCCGCAACAGAATCAGCAGGCACGTCTGGATGGATCTTTTTGGTCAAATTATCTATTATATCTACATAGAAAAAAAAAATGATTCAAGAAATTTACCGCAAATCATTTTTGTTCACTTATCAATCAGACATATACAGGGACTAAAATGGATTAAATGATTCCAAGAGCCAAAGATGTCAAAACACTCGGTAAATATTCAACTGTTGGGACAAGGTATCCTTCACTACCGTTTCCCTGGTACTATAAAGTAGAGCCATTTGACATTCTTTTGTTTTATATAACCATATATATACCTGATGAGTTAACCATCTGCTCGCCATCCACCATCAGTATAGGCACTTTCTTGTAATCAGACCACTTTATTTCCTTTTTGCTGATAGGGTTCACCTCCACAATTTTGTACGGGATATCATAGTAGTCCAGGAAAGCTACAAAGGTTACAGTGATAGTTATACAATGTTATAAATGTGTTAATCGTGATCAGAAGTACGAAAATTTCAGGCAAAGGCAAATAACAACACAGAGTTATTGGCCTACTCAAATCCCAGTTACTGAAGAACGGAATTGTCACGCAAGCATTTCAGTTTTGTATGCTCTGTTTCATCGATCATTCCACATTAAAATTAGCTTAATCTTCAAAAGACCAAACCATATGATAAACAAATGTCAAAATAAAAATTCAGCATGAATGAACTACTTATAATCAATACAGTATCCTTCTAACAAAAATATGATAACCACACACAACGAATAATTTCTGCTTATAATTACAGGACAAAAAAGGGGGGCCTTTTTTCCCCTTCCAAACCACAATTCAGATAAATTGGCTTTATAGAACAGAAAGAACTCAAAATCACAAATGAGAATGAGTACCTTTGACCTTGTTACAGAAAGGGCAAGCTTCGTACTGATACAGCACGACGTCCTTCGGTCGGAATTTCAACTGCACGGGCTCCTTCGCGTGGACCTCCTCCGCCACTGTGGTGGCGGCCGCCGAGAACAGCATCGTTCCGGCAAAAGTGCGCGCGGCGCGAGCCGACTGATCGCTGGAGATCTTGTTGTTCGAGAACCAGTGAGATCTAGCCGAAGAGTCGCTGCTGCTGCCCGTGCTGAAAAGAGCCGCCTGGGAGAGGCGGTCGTGGTGCCGGCTGGCTTGGTTCCCGGCAGCGACGCCCCCCACGGCGCGGCGAACGGCGGCGAGCCCGCTAATCCTCTTCATTTCCGGAAGGATCTAAGGGGTTTCGTGAGAGATGATTTGGAAAGTCTGGCGATGGCTTGTGTGGTTTTAGGCGAGGGTTTTAGAAGCTGTGCACGGTCCACGTGAAAGGAAACAAAACAGCTGTGTGCGCCGGCGCGGAGCTGAGCTGTGATCAATAGTCGGCTAGAGCCGATGTGAAAAAAATCTGTCCAAGTCCAAGCCCGCGAATATGTGGGCTCAGAATCTATTATAAAGTCCAGTTATGTACTAACCTCCAAATGGTGGGCTTATAAAATAAATGGCCCACAAATATGCTATATGCAATGAAGGCAATGGGGTGATTGTGAATTTCAAATATCAAAATGTTGTCAACCTATGCTATTGCTGTGACCACATACGGCATATGGATAAGAGCAGTGTAAGGGAGAAATTGGTTCGGAGAATAACAAATTCTTGAAGAGGGTGCCCAGTAGTGCAACTTTCTCGCGCGACGCGCACAACAAGTTGGTCGTGCGTGCCTCACGTGCGCACACCAGCTACTTTGCGCGCAGTGCAACACGACGCTTGACCCTGCAAGGCCCAACGACCCGCAACCAACACCAACATAACTCCAGGCAACCTACAGCAGCCCAGGCACACGATAACGTGTACCAGCGTGCACCACAGTGGACCACCGTGGACCACAGTGCACCAACACGCATCAGGGCTCACTAACTGAACTGTCCACACACTAGGTGAGTCGCAACGAGCTCAGACCACCTCCAACAGCTTGACTGTACTCTGGTAGCAATCCAACAAAGAGATATTGTGATAATGTTCGATAATATCTGAATATATTTCTAGTATGCTGAGTTATTATATAAATGATCTCTAAAGTAATGTGGATAAAAAATATTGTATTAATTAGTTTGTTAGGAATGTGAATATATGAAAGTCAAGATAAAATGAAATGTACCCAAAAAAATTTGTTTATGAGTTTTCTTTAAATGTTTGAATTTAAAAATCTAATAACCAAATTTAAATATATCACATCGAAAAAATAAATAATATTTTTTTATTAATATATATAAAAATATAATATTAAATTTCAAATAAAGTAAAAGATGTGATAATTCATATTTGTTTTCAAATGGTTCCTAAATTGTTAAATATTTTTGGTAAGTATATATGTAAATAATCTTTCTATTTTAATTTCTAAAAAATGGCATGTTTGTTAATGGGATAATCTGGTTTAATAAATGATTATCAAGTTAAAATATTATATTAAAATAGGAGAGATAAGACAATCAACGCATTTTGCGATCAAAATTGCCATTTGGTTGGAGAGATTTCTACTGCAACAAACGGGTTTTGCGTCTCGGTTGGAGACGGTCTTAGGCCATCTCCAACCGAATACCACCCATACTCAAACTCATTTTACAGTAACTATCACATTTTGCAGTAATCCATCTCCAACCGAAAAACCCATTCTCCAACCCAGAAGGATATTCTCAGAATATTCTCTTTTACATCAACTTTTACAACTTTTCAATACTACCCACATATTTTACAACTTTACAAATTAAACCACACTATTACTTTCAATTCAATTTGGACTTTATGTAATAAACTAATTATAAAGTTATAATCTTATACATAATAAAGGCTGAGAAATAAATAGTCATTAAAAATTAAAATTTAAAATTACAACACACAATATAACATTAAAAATTACAACGCACAAGATGATTAATTAAAAATTACAACGCACAAGATTAAATTAAAAATTACAACGCACAAGATGAGAAATTAAAAATTTCAACACAAAATAAAATTAAAAATTACTACGCATAAGATGAGAAATTAAAAATTACAACAATCAAGTAAAAATGGATAGTATTTCAAGTCTCAAAATTGGTGTACTTTTTTATTTTTAGCATTGTGTGATGTTGTATTTCGTTTCAACACTAATTGTTTAAATGTTTTTTTTTTCTCAAACTTGATTTATTATGTATGAATGTTATTTCAATTTGTATTAGTAATGTTGTTGTGTATTTTAATGTCAGTGTTTTTTTCTTGTTAAATAAAGACACCATAAATAATATGTATATTTTACATTATTGATGTGAAATATATAAATTAAATTATAGATATAATATTATTATTTTAAACATTATACTATCTAATTTTTATGAAATTAATTTTTTCAGTATTTTACATTATTATTATTATTTTGGAAAAATATATCTAAATTAAAAAGGTTAGGACTAAAATGAAAAAAAAAAAAGATGAAAGAGTTGCAAAATGGGGGTTAAAATTAAAAAAAAAAAGAAAAAAAGATAAAGAAGCATAATTTTGTGTCCGACGCAAATTGCGTCCAGAACAAGAGAGAGAAAACAATCAACGCGTTTTGCGATCAAAATTAACGTTGGATTGAAAAGATTTCTACTGGCAAAAATGGGTTTTCCGTCTCGATTGGAGACGGTCTTAGATGCCATGTCATTCGTTGCAACTCTTAAGTCGTAAATGAAAATATACTAACAAATTGAAGGACTAGAGGAGCAAAAGCGGAGAAAGATACGTAGGCTCGGTCAATCCGTGGTTTAAAATGTCCTTTGGTGCATTGCACTTGAATAACTATGGCCAATAGGATTCGAGGTAGTTCGTTTCCAATTATCTCCACGTAATCGAACGGTCCAGATGGACTCAGTAACCTGCACGCGTCACACATGAAAATTACACTCTTCCTCCATGGGCTATATATTTGAGCCCTACATCAAATTGCAACAGTTCTAGCATTTTCCTACGGGACGCCTAAATGGCAACTAGGGTTCCAACTTCCACCTTTTTGGGTTCTCGATCGTCTAGATCGGCCGACCTGCCGGAAAAATTTTCGATCTTTAGGACAATTACCTAATTTGCCGCCGGTTATGAAGTCCCTATTTAACTTTTTTCTGGACAAATCTTTGATTCGATCTGGAAGATAATGTCTCGGTGCTTTCCGTACCCTCCGCCGGGGTATACACTCAGCGGAGCCAGGAATGAGGCCGCCCTGATCGAATCGATTAAGGTTTGTTGCAGAAAAAAACCTTGATTGATTTGCGCATGAGCACGAGTCTTGGTCGGTAGGAGTGTTAAATGGATTTCTTTGGTGGGTCGTAGTTGTTTTCCAATCAAGAATGTGAAAATCACATAAAATTCTGAAGATTTTTGTTGAATATGAAATTCTCCGTGTGACGTGTAAGAAAAATTGTTTGTGTGTGTTCTTGAACTTTGATCTTTTTTGAGGGAATGGATTGGAGCTCAGGATTTAGTTCGAAGTTTGGGAATTGGGTAGAATTGTCACATGGGTTTTGTAGATAACGCTCAAGAATTCAGCTTTTTAGTCTGTATTTTGTGGGTTTTGATGACCATTTTCGAGAATTCTGATGTTTTCCTGTGTGATTAATGCAGTAAAACCATCCAATAAACTTGCTTGACTAATATGTACAAGTAGAATTTGGTGTGGTTTTTTTGTGGTTTTGGTGCCTAATTTGTACAGTCACTTCTTAAATCAACATATGATAAACGGTTTAGAATAAGATAACATACGCATGCATGTTGTGTATGTGTCTGTCTTAAAAGTCTTTAAACCATATGAGTTGTAACTCATGGGACCTTGGTCTTCAGTTGATGATCAGAAAGGGAACCAGGAAAAAAAAAAGTTGAATCTGGCATTTGGAAGTATGGTTTTTGGCCTAGAATTGACTGTTGAGGATAAGAAAATTCGTGACTATATATTTTTCTGAGGGAGCATTAAATTAGGTTTATGTGATGCATGTGGTTTTGTTGGTAATGACATTGGTTATGTTATGTTTGAGGTCAAGGCATAGATGATGTGGTAATAACTGAAGATATGGGATTTAATAGTCATGAAGAGCAAATCCTGCTCCTGTGTTGTCTGGTGTCTATCTGTTGTTCAAAACCAGAAGCTTTTCATTTGGCAAGTCTACATATTCTTGTTCGTTCTCATAGTGGGGTAGAAGTTTTTCGTGTCTAAGTTGTTAGATAGAAGTTGTTTTGAGATCCGTTTCTCAATGCAGTTACTTCCATTAATTATTAATGACCTTTGGGCTTAGGTTTGAGACCTACTCGAGGCTTGTCAATTAGACACGTGTCAGAGAGGGTGATATAAGTTATGTATATGTCATTGCATGTCTACCATGACGGTTAGAAATGTGGTCCGAGTGGTTTTCATGTTCTAAATGAACCCATTTCGTTGCTGCAGGCAAGTAGGTCTGTATGTTCATGGCGTGATGAATTGTTTTTGTGCGTATTAGTTTTGTTAAACTGTTGCCATGATGTTTGTATAACTATTTGCCTGGGTTAATATGTTGTATGTCATCTTTAACAATTTTTGGTAAGTTATTCGTGATTAGTAGTAATTGATATTGAAGTGTCAACATGCCTGTTTGTGTAAGACTGATGAACGTTCCGCGTTTGTACTTATGGTGGGAGGAGACACAAATTGAAACTTTGCTTTTATGGGTGCAAATTTTATAAATGTTTATGCTCAAATGTCAAATATTTTCTGTTACCAAGTAATATTTTTCTATCCTTGAGATTTGCATGTGGTTCAAATGTTTATTTTGACAATTTGTGAGTACTGTGTTTCGAGTCTTTATGGTGTTGTACAAACTCATCGTCTTATTTGATTCTATTTGCCACACTTTGGGCTTCATGATCAAAGTATTATGTTGAGGGTTGCATTTCTCCTACCCACCCCCTATTCTAAAACTCTTACTGTGGTGCTCGAAAGTTCCAAAAGGAGAAAGAAAGGAAGCTTGAGAGGAAAGAGAAGAAAGAGAGAAGGAAGGAGAAGAAGGCGAAAAGAAAGGAGAGGAAAGCGAGGAAGAAAGAGAAGAACGAAAAAGCAAATCTGAATCCTGGTGAGTCAGATATTCAGAAGCTTCTCATTAGTGCCGAGAAGTCAAGTATTCAGAAGCATGATATCAGCCCAAAGAGCTTTTCCAATAGAAAAATAGAGGCTCTTCAAAAGAAAAGAGCAGCTGAAAATAACCAATCAGAACAAAGCAGTCTCACGGAGGAGCAGGCACTTCCTTCAAGTTTGTTCATTCCAAGCTCTTCTTCTGAGAGCACAGAGAACAGCAAGAAAAGGAAGAGGCAGTCACCGCCTGAAGACGATACACACAGTCAGGGTACTTTCGGACTCTCGACGCTCCCTCTTAT